CCCATAAATTACTTCTTAAGCATGATGTGACTTTCGGTTCAATCTCCACAACCAAAACAAAACAAAACTACCCAAACTCTCTCTTGTAACTCTGCGCATTTATTCAAGTATTTGTCTAGTATCAATACTAGGAGCTGGGGTTCCTGAGTAGAAAGGTCTGCACCTGTATGTTGGTTTTGGGTGTTTGCAAGGGGAACAATATAATACAGGACACATATTTTACCAAATTATTTATAATAGTCACCCAAAGAATCATATACAAGAGAGTACAGGAAATCTGTCCACACACTAAAGACCAAAGAATTCAGCTGAGGGCCTGGATCCCATGATAATGTCCTGCATGAGCCCAGCTAAAGACCTAGAGCTCATAACAGTGCCTCCCACAAGTCTAACTGGAGACCTAGAGCCCATAACAATATCTCATGCAGGCCTGTTTCATGGGTCTGTGCTGGAAGGCCCAAAGGTCAGTGGTAGAATCCAGAAAGTCTGTGCCAGCAGGATGAAGGATCTGTGCCAGCAGGCTGAGGAATCTACACTGGAGCCAGGAAGCAGCACTCAAAATAAGAACCAGAGCTCCCCTGAAAAGTACCACAGCCATCCTCAGCAACAGTGAGGTCCTGAGCTCCTCTGATGATCAGGACAGCCGAGTTCCCATCAGGACAGCCAACGTGACAAGCTTCTCCATGAGACTGGCAGTGCACCATCTTCCTCTCTGGAGCCAGGAAGTGATGCTCAGAGCTGGGACCAGAGCTCCCACAAAGTGAACTGAAGCCATTCTCAGGGACAACAAGGTCCCGAGCTCCTTGGAGGATGAAAACAGCCAAGTTCATCAGGAAAGCCAGCATGATGAGCTCCTCCAACAGAACCAACAGCTCCTTATAGCTCTACCAACTCCCAACAGCCTCCTTCTTCTTCTCCAGTTCTGCCTCTTATGCTGCTGGCAACAATCCTCAGGTGGGCCTCTCACACCCACACTTATTAAGTTCAGTTGGGTGTTACAAGTTGACCACCAGTTGTCAGTCGACCACAACCTGTGAAATGCTAATAGGTATTTCAAATTGTCTCCTAGACTAAGGCTTGTATAACTTTTTATTTTTTATTTGAATCTTTGATCTTTGAATTTATTTTAAGGTAAAGAATAAGAGATTGATCTTTTTTCTTTATGTAGAAGACTACCCAGTTGTATGAAAATCATTTACTATTTTATCCCAATTAATTTCAAATGGTGCCTTTGTCCTATATTAAATTCCCATGTATGCCAGAGTTGAGCTTTGGATTATCTATTCTGCTCTACTAATATATCTATTCCTGTATCAGTGGCATATATTTTAGCTACCTTAGCCCCCTGATACATTTTAATATCTCAGAGGACAGGTTCTCTAGCACTGACTTTTCTTCCTTTGGCTTCTTATGGCATTCTGTGTTTTTCTAGGATCATATGTACATTTTTTCCTGCTTCTTTTTGAGATGAGGTCTCACTATGTTGCCTAGGCTGCTCTTGAACTCAGGCTCAGGTGATCCTCTCTCCCCAATCTCCCAAGTAGCTGTGAATATAAGCACATACCACTGAGCCGTTACATGATTGCTTTAAGGAGTAGTGTGTAGAAAACTTGTAATGTAAAGAAATTTTAATTTCCACATGTATATTGTTCATTGTCACCCCGCTTGGTTTTAGGTTGCCATATAAAAATACAAAGATGGCCTAGATGTAGCTCGATGGCAGTGCACATGCTCTTTATGAAAAAAAAAAAAAAAGATTGTGTTCAATCTCTACCACCAAAAAAATGTATATATGTAGGGACTAATTTTAAGATTTATGTGGCTTATAGCCAGGCATGTTGGCACACACTTGTAATCCTAGCACATGGAAGGCTGAGTCAGAAAGATCACCAACCTGGGTTACATAGTGAGTTCAAGGCCAATTTAAACTACATAGAAAGACTCTATCTCAAAAAAAAAAAAAAAAAAAAAAAAAAGCACCAGAGAAAATCAGGAAAGTCATGTGTGAGAAAAATGAGATTACTAAAAAAAAGATTTATGGGCTTAAGTAGAAGAAACTTGGCCCAGGGATATAGCTCAGTGGCATAAACACCTGCTTGGCAAGCACAAGGTCCTGAGGTCGATTTCTGGTACCAAAAAAAGAAAAACCTTAAGTAACTTGAGTCCTGAGATTGTTGCTCTGCAGTTTATCTGTCTTGTACCCAATCTTTCCTCACATTATCTAAGCAATTTTTCCACTTGTCATCTCTACTCCTTTCCTGTGTGGGTGCAAATAACTTTCTTTTTAGAATGTATGGCAAGGTGCCGAAAGGGAAGGTGATGGTCTCAAATAAAGGTCTTGAAGTGTTAATTCCTGCTGTCTTGAGGCCACTCACAGCAAATCTTGTTCATGATTTATAAGGGGACCAGAACACCACTTATAAGGCCAGGGGAAGGTACGTGAAGCAGGTCAGATCTCTTATACTTGGCTTCCAGCTGTTCTTGGTCATGGTGGCCTCACTGGTGATGTTGTTTTTGCCAGCTCAGTTGTAGAAATCATCAGAGGAGAGGTGCCCACCGGGTGCTAAGGCAGCGTCCCAGTAGGCAGAGGCCATTGGTTGTCCTCTGCATATTACCAGATGCTCTGTTTGCTGCACATCCTGCCTGGCAGGCAAAGCAGTTACCATGACAACCCCCCCCATGTCTGTGAGTTTTTTGCATTTTCCTTTTCCAATAAGTACCAAGGTATTCTAGGGACAGGGGAGCACAGCTTTCAGGACAAAATGTCCTCTTCTCCAGGAAGAGGGATAGGGAAGAGCGGGGTGAAAATGTTTATATGTTATGACTGAATGAACCATCATCATATTACTGCATTTGTTCCTGTTCCTGGGTTAAAACGTGTGCCTTTGGTTATAGATCGGTGCATGTATCTGCATGTACCATGCAAAGAGTCGGATCACTGGCTACCCAGCCATTTGTTTTCCTGCTTCCTTCTGCTTTCCTCTTTTTTTTTTTTTTTGCCCCTGTACTGGAACAGTGGCCCCTGTTCTTTGCCAGGGGAAGTGCTGAGTCATGGCCCAGCTGGGTTTCCGTCTCCTATCCTTCATCTCCATTCTTTTCTCAGTCTACCCCTTGGCCTGCCGGGCTCTCTCTAGAGCTCTGGGCCCATTTCACCATCTCACCACTTCCCCCAGGTTCACTCCAGGGCAGTAAAGGGAAGGCACTTTATTCTGCTTCTGCACTTAGTCTTCTCCTTCTGCCTTCTCAGGAGACCAGGCTCTTCTTCCTACTGTCTTCCTCCTGGAGAAAGCAGGGCTGTGGCCGAGTTTGACCTAGGAGGCTAATTCTTCCATGTATTCTCGCTGACCCTCCTCCAGTCCTTCCCTACCTAATCGGATTAGAGCGGTGTCTCATGCTTTGGGGCATGGCAAGGAAAGTGAGATTTAACTCGACACCACTCAGAGGCTTATTTCCCCTCCTCCCCCATTTTAAGTCTGCAGTGTCAGACCACAGGTTCCCAGAGGACCCGCGCAAAAGAGTGCAGAAATGGGAAAGTGCTCTATCTTTGGGTTGGGGGCAGGATCTAGATGTTCTTCTGTCTCTGTGGTCTCTCCGATCTCTTTGCATTCCCATTAGTCTTCTCTAACTCAGAAACTCGAATAAAGTAGCTAATCTCGCTAACTAGTCCCAAATAAAGCGAACCAGGATTGTTTCCCCAGCCAGAGGTGTGTGTGTGTGTAGGGGGGGAGAGCGGAGAAGCGGCCCCGCCCGCTCAGTCTGGTTACTATGGCGACAGCCGCGGAGTGACCCAAGTGATCCTCCCTCCCCATTCCAAACCCAGAAAGATGACGGCACCGCGCTGACTGCGCCAAATTCCAGCCAATGGGCGACTGCTCCCGCCTTCCCTTCCGCCAGCTCTCCTCCTCCCCCTCAGGAACCCGATTCACAAATCTGGACTGAGGATTTCCGGCTCCAGGACCCAGTGCCAAGGCTCTGGGCCCAGGCCGAGTGAGAGCTGAGTCTTGCCTCCCAGAGGGCATGTGCGAAGCGAAATTCCTGGATTCTTGGGCCAGACTTCTGTAACTCGCAGCCAAAATAGCTTACACTATATCCCGAAATTATCCAGAAGACCTTGTTGAGGCCGTGTCCCCAACTCTTCCTGCCCATTCAAGCCCCCACCCTGCCTAAACACTCCCGTCAGCACCACGGACAGCGAACCCGGGGCCTTGTCTTTGCCCGCCCCTCCCGCTTCTCTCTGGATCCCGGTGGCTACAGTGGCAACCAGCGTAGAGCCCACGAGTGCTCTGCTGAAGCAAGGCCACTTTGGGCCAGTGGAACAGAGAGTGAGGCCCTTAGCTATGTAGCTAAGAAGGCAATGGGGGCCAAGCAAGGGTCTCCTCTTTCAGTCTCAAAGCATGATCTTCCATCTCCCCCTTTCATCTCTGCCCGTGTCTGGGCCTCCAGGGTCATAAAGGGCCAGGGTCTGAGTCCCAAGCAGGGAAGGGGCTCCCAAGACTAACATAGGTGGGCGTGTGACCTAGGCAGCCTCCAAGTAGCCCAGTAATGATGACGTTTGGGCACATGGCGGGGCTGAGTGTGGCAGTCGGGCCCCACCTGAGGGTAGTGAACACAGACTTAGGCCTAGCTGGTAGGGAGAGGTAGGAGGAAGAGAATAGCAGCAATAGTGACTAGCTAATTCTCCCTCAGCGGGTCACCTCAAAGAAGGGGAATGACTTCTACTATCCTTACCCCATTCCTAATTGAACTGGGCATTAATGAAGAGCTAGGTCAGACAAGATGGAGGCTGGAATGGAGGGGTGTTCAATCTCAACCCTTGGTTACCTCATTTTACTCTTTGTAAAATGGCAGCTGACTGGGGAAGGGGTAGCAAGTAGCTGCCGTCGGAGACTTGACCATGCTCACCTAGGCCCCTGTCTCATGCCCTGCTACCCTACTGGTGACAGTTTCATGGCATCTCCCCTTCCCACCCTCCCCGGGGCCCAAAAAAAGGCCGGCGCAAAACCATCTGTAGGCGCTTCCAGCGCTTTATAGTTCTCCGGGACAGACGGACAGACAGACAGTGCGGCCCGCGCCGTCGGCCCGCATCATTGGCACCTTGGACACGGCCCGGGCCCAACCCAGTCCCTGGTACTCTCCCGGGAGGATTCCGGTCCCGCTCCAGCTCAGCACCTCGGACAGTTCCCAACCCAACCCCGCCCTCCCCCCTCCCTCAGGAAACAGCAAAATAAATTAAAAGGGGTGGGGGAACAACGAGAACTTAAGGATAAGGAAGAGAGACGCCCCTCCCCCAGAATAAGTTTTCTTTCACTTCCCACCCGTCCACTGAAGCGCCGCCGCCACCGGGGTGGTCTCCCAGATTGATTCTGCCCCCCAAATCTCAGCCTCTAGAATGAAGCCGGCAGCCCCTTCCCCCCCAACTCCCGGCATGCAACACGTTAGAAAAGGTAGGGAGAGGCAGTGGGGTGTGGCGAGGGACCATCCCGGTGCTTGTTTGGGCCCCCGGGACTGCAGTTTCTAGTTGCACCTCAGTCGATCCGAATTAAAATCTAACGGTCCCATTGATCTGGAGAGGGTCATACGGGGACTCAGTCAAGGGAAGAAATACAGGATGACACTAGCAGAGGGAGGAGGCAGACAGGAGGAAGATGGTGACACATGGTAGAAGGAAACTGAGAATGAAAGGGAAGTCGGGGACACAGGTGCAGGAAGAGAAACGGGCTACAGTGAGGTAAATGGAAAGGCAGAGGGGGAGATACGGACAGCAGGAAAGATGAAGATGCAGCGAGTGGGCGAGGAAATGGACAAACCCAGGGAAGATGGAAGGACAGACACGCACGGCAGGGAAGGGAAGATCCGAGCAGAAACGGAGAGACGGCGACACAGACAGACAGACGGAAAGGGTGACGTTGGGAGTGCCCTTCCAACACTCGCCCCCCATCCCCACCCCACGCCCAGAAAATCCGAACACCAGGGCCTGCTCCAGCGTCCGGGCCTCCACCTTCCCCGCTCCTCCTCGGCCCAGCCCGTGCTCGGGGCGGCGGTAACAGCGGCGGTGGCGGCTCGAGGGTCCCGGGAGGTTCCGAGTCTGTGTCGGGGGCTGGGGCGGCGGGCGGGCGCGGCCCCCGGGTAGCCCTAGCGGTCCAGGTTCATAGTCCAGTGCTTGGCTGCGGCCGCGCAGCTGTCCCTGGCGACCGAGGCGGCGGCGGCTGGCGCGCCCCCGTTGGGTGGACCCCCGGCACCGGCGGCGGCGGCCTCGCCCTCGTTCTTGAGGTCTTGAAAGACTTGGGTGAAGAAGTGGGGGTCTGCGTTGAGCCGCAGCATCTGCGGGCTGAGCCGCTGGATGAGGCGCAGGCAGCGCTGCCAGAAGCGCTCCTTGTCGGGCTCCACGAGGAAGGGCTTGAGCGGGTAGGAGATCTCGTTGCCCATGTAGGAGTAGGCGAGGTAGAGGCAGGTGAGGAAGGCGGCCTGCAGCTCGGCCGCCGACGCCAGCTCGTCCCCGCGCAGCGACTCGCGGCATAGCAGGTACACGAACACCAGGTTGGCGGGCGTGATGAAGGCCTGGTCTTGCCAGCCCTGCAGCAGCAGCGAGCGGTCCACGCCGCGGAACCAGCCCACCAGCTCGCCGGGGCTCAGCTCCTTGAGGCGGTAGCAGCGTCGGCACACGAAGTCGCCCAGGCAGCGCAGCAGCTCGCCGGTGGACGCCTGCACGATGACCCGGCGCGGCGACCCTCCGGGCACGGGTGGCGCCGCTTGCGGGGCGGGC